ATCAGTCATTGGTGGGTTTCGATCCGTCTCTTGTTAGTCAAATTGGTCGGTTTTTGGTCCATGTATTGTTAAGTCGGTCTGTTAGAAGTCTTATGACCACAAGAAAACAACAATTGAACGTTAAACCAACATTTATAGGCCGAAGCAAGCCGCCACACGTACCTGAAGTAATTAGCAAACCGCTTTAAGCCAACATTTTCATCTGATGTCGGTGCACTCTGTTGATCAACGAGTGTACACATTTCGTAGTTCGATCCCTGAAGCGATCTTTGGCGGCTTTGTCTTTCTTTTCTCCCGGCCTTTGTATTGCCCATGAACTGGTCAAACTCGGTCACAATACGCCCAAGGAAAAAAACTAAAACGACCCATTCTAGTCGACTGAAGGCAAGAGTTGAAGGCGAGAGACAAATGGCGAAGTGAAAGCCAAGAAGGGTGAGGTAGCTTAGAGTATCGCGGAAAAAGATGAAATAAGGAGTCGTGAAGTAGTCAAGGTACCTCTCTGTGAAAAAAGATAAGTGTAATATAAAGTACGATTACAGATTAAGAAAGAAAGGAGGCTTCGAAAAGCTGTGCAATGAACAGTCTGCTCACTATTTTGGCGGTAAACAGATTGGACCTGTTCAACAGCAGTTATACCAAGGTTACTCACACCCGGACTATCGCACATGATAATCGATTATTTTCTTTTGAATGGCACTCGTATTTTACTTTTATTATTAAATGGAATCCTGGCTAAGAAAACCAGTTTGATATCAAATCTATCGCTTGAGTTTGCTTGCTTTTTTCCCGTTTCACCAGCCGCCATGGTAGTGTTGGCAAAGAGGGGGGATTATAATTTCATGCGTGTTCAATAAGTCGTCTAACGTCGAAGTTGCGTACATTTACATACGTGTTTCTAATAGTTTCTAGTACTATTCTACCGCGGTTTATTTTTCGTAGACTCCATATTTATCTCTCCGACAAAGTGACTGGCGAAACAGAACTCGTATACGAAATGGAGATATCGACTTANCACGGCAAGGGTTCGTTAGTATAGCGTACTATTACAAATGATTCTCTATTGATCTAATACCTTCTTCTGCTCGGTATTGATGGCCTTGTCCACCACATGATCGAAGCAACTTTGAAATGTGTTCCTGGTATCGTTGTCGGATTTTAACGGGTTTATCAAAGCTGACGTAAATTCATCCACAGAATTCACTAACGTTTCAATTTCGTCTTTCTCGGGGTTTACACTGTTTGCTGAATCTTTGAGTATTTTTCTCACCTACGGAGAAAACAGGAAAAAATACAAAAAATAAGTGTGACTGAAAAAGGCAATCGTAGTTGTCTGCCTGCCCGACTGTCTATCAATGGACCTTCTCGGCGATACGGCGGCCATTTTGCTCAGCGGGCAAATTAGTATGTAGCTGCTCCCTATACAACCTATAATAGCTATCTGAGACAATAGAATTCCAAATAGCCGCCATATCCACGAAAAGGTCCATTTGTTTGCCCGTTCGCCTGTATTGGACTGCCTGCTTGCTTACTTACTTCTCGGTCTGTCTGTCTGTCTGTCTGCCTGTCTGTCTGTATGACTGTGTGTCTCTATCTATTTATGTATCTGTCTGTCTTTCTTTGTCTATTTGTCTGTCTGTCTCTCTATGTGTCTGTCTGTCCATCTGTCACCTTACCTGCCTGGCTGCACGCGAACCTTCCTATCTGCCCGTTTAGTGGTACTTGTTACCAAAACATCGAAGCCTTCCCGTGCGCGGTGACCGAGGTGACCGGTTAAAAATGTAGTGTCTGTATGGGCTGGACCAAGACTAAGTGTGGCGCCCCTTGGCGAAAGTTTGACTTCTTTTGCAAGAACATTTCCTTTACAAGGATCAAAATCAAGATTATGCCGGCGCCACTCACCTCCAACGCTTTAAGTAAAGCATTAGTCTTACAGCTTGTAAGGATTTTCGGAGTTAATTGTTCTACAATGGCATCNTCTCTAAAAAGCTCCCTCCCTTTTGTTACCAAAGTTTAATAAGCGTCTCAGACATGAACTCGAATTTTTGTAGTCCCTAAAACAAGTATTTATCGTTTCTAATCGTTCGTCTACTCATACTAATAACACACAAATATCACCACTCGACAATAAGAATACTAAACAATGAGCTACGTTCATACTTCCTCTTCTCTCACCTACAGCTTTAGATTCTTCGTTTGCCGTATCAATTCCTGGATGTTCATCCTCCGGATCTGCATGAGAAAAAGGAAAAGAGAGTCCAGGATAACATGTATGCGCATGCTCAAGGCAAGCCAATCAGGATGTGGGGTGGACGGGCGATAACACTTAAATTGCTCGTTGAAAACAAGCTTAATTATACAACCAAGCACATGACTGAAACAGTAAGAGACATCGTCGCAAAATGCGTCCAAATCCAATTTTAATGGGCCTGTACTGAGATCAGGAATCCATAAAAGTCAGTAACACTCTTGAAAATTTAATCAAACGCTTACCAAACGCGAGAGGAAAGCTCCCCTCTTCCAAAGGGGTCTCTTTGCCAACCGTACAAGGATCCAGAGAGACTTCTTCTGGAGAGATAATCGGCGGATGGTCTGAATTACCCGAAATGCTCGGCGGGCGAACACGTTGCATTACCTCTCGTGGCATATCACGTGGTCGGGCTACAGACAGCTTAATCTCTCTCGGCTCGTCGTCGACTGGCCGATCAAGTTGGCGACATTCCTCGTCCTCACGACTCCTGGCAAGGGTTGTTGGTGTTATAGGCTGAAGCTCCATTTCTTCGCCTAAATCAGTACTAAGAAAAAGACAATTCGAGATAAATCATTGGCCGAGTTTATACTAGAGACGAATTATCCGACGCCGAATTTGAATTAGGAGACGATTTATCAGTCTGAGACGGTTTATCCATCTGAGAAGATTTTTCCTTTTGAGAATGATAACTCGTTTAGGAATAAATGTGTTTAGACGAATTATGTGGCCAAATTCGTCTTCAGCTGTTTCGTCTGTCAGCACTTCTTGAAGATGTGCTGACAGACAAATTAGCGAAAGACGAATTTGGCCACATAATTCGACTAAAAACCGGATTCATACCTGGACGATTTATCCGTCTCAGGCAGTCGAAATACCTGTTCCGGACAGCTAATTCGTCTCAGACGGATGATTCGTCCCTAAAATAAATTCGGTCAATGAGTAAAAGTTAATTTTATCGCTCATCGCAACAAAAATTATCGATTAACAGAGCTGTGATTCTTGACAACAATTCTAAATCAGAAACTACAAGTCGTGTGCATTTTCGTGTGGATTCTTTAGCTTTAGGTCATTTATAGAGTATATGTCACGTTTCATCAGTTAAAGTGTCATCATCTCAAACTATGGTGTATGGCAAGCAGGATGTACAAGAACAAGAGAATGTGATCTTGACAAGAATATAAAAAACCCGGATGGTTGATTTCGAATAAGTCGCAAAAACATTTCAAATCATACTTTTGAACAATAATTGTAAACGGCCGGCAGATAAAAACTATTTTGACGGCTTTGCTCCAAATAAATAAGGCTTGGAGGAAGGTTTTAAAGGCACCTTAAACCCACGAAAAAGTGGCGTTACAAATTTACTATTAAAATGTTCAAATCAACGTCAATACACCGATTGCAGAGAAGTCCGGAAGTTGCATGGACGAAATGTTGGGGAAGAACGAAAAAATTCGAATGTATGTATGTTAGAGCTATTTTTCTGGAGCAAATGTGGTAAGGAAAAGGAAAAGAGTAGGACACAAGTGTTGTGCGGCTGCAAACTCTAAAAATCGAAGCAAAAACCGACCTGATTTATCATTTCCACGACTGAGTTTCTTTCGGACAAGCCAAATAAACAAAGAAGGAAAAAGTTGGAAATACTTCTGAAAAGGGGAGATGCCTATTTTACCTCGGTAGGAAATAACTTCTGTTGTTCCGAGCACTTCTTGTCAAGTGATTTTAAACTGAGTACACTTATTGAAACTGGGAGCCGTACCGGTTTTCCCCTACACAAAAGTTGATGAGGAATCTCTGTGTAGAGCGCCAAGATGCGAGGCACCTGAGTCTGGCAAAGAAGAAGTGAATACCCATCAGCTTCAATCAACTTAGGAATTAATCAGCTTTCATGCCTCTGAGGTAAACAAAAAAGTTTCCCAAAAACAGTGTTGAATGTGGAAGGACATTAGTGATTTAAATACAGCCATTAATCTTTTTTTACTCGCTTAATATTTCAGCAAGATCTGGCTTTTAGGTTTAATTTTCAGAACTAGTAGTGTCAGATAAATTATTGCATGGGCCAATTTCCTGTATTCGATGTTGGGAGCCTGCCCATTATTTATTTACCTGAAGTTTTTTAGGCCGAATTTGAAAACATAAAGTGCAGAATAGACTGCAGAGAGATAAAAGGTCGGACACCCAAGACCTGGAGAAGCAGAGTGAACTAATAAAAGTCTGACAACACATTTTAAGGCTTCGTAGGAATTTCCATAATGTCAGGGACTTGATAGACAGCATTTACTGGCAAGCAAGAAGGTTATAATCTTCATCCCTTATATGCGACCAAGTAAATCAGAGCTGACGATAATTTTACTAACTTTCTAAGGAGGACTGTTTTTCAACCATGAACCAGAACTGCAAATGTAAGAATACAAGCTGAAATGGCTATTAGGAGAATAAGTGGATGGCATATATTTGATGATGTAATTCCACTAAGATTGTGTTAATCAACCCTGGATAGTGAGCTATTTGCTTGTAAACTGGCAGAAAAGTTAGTTATCTAATAATTCCTGACACCTAATGTAACTTAATGTTTAATTTGTCATTTGGTAGTGAATGTAAACATAGTACATGATATTGTTCATCAGTGGCAATTAAATATTTGGTGATTTCCACCATATTGAAAGTGTGCATTATCTGGCTTGATGTTCTATTTTCTAGCACAGGGTGTAACATAGAAGGACACATGGTCTGGTGTATAATTTGCTAATAACATGAAAGTGCAATTGAATTTGACCTTATTGAGAATTTCCCACATTGTATGATCTTATAGATTCCCAATTGTTTTGAACTATTTTGAAATATTCACTCAATGCAACATTACCAGAGAAAAACTAGAAGTAGCTGAATTCTCTCATATTAGATGCTGGACAAACTTATTGGAACTTTGATATACATTATTTATTCTGGCTTAGCGATAATCACATCTTGTAAGGCCACCTCTAAGCATTAGGTAAGCCAGTTCATATATATATGTATGTATCATAAATTGTTCGATGTTCTGTAGCATCTCCTTCCACCATTCTATGCCCAGGGCAATTTGCTCATTAAAAATTCTCAGTTACTTCCAATTTATGGCCAGGACATTCCAAAGTCTGTTCACAACAAAGAGTAGTTGTTGTGCATTGCACTTCATAAACTGA